CACACACACACACACTCACACACACACAAGGGGGCTCTCTCATGGCATAGAGGTTAAGGTGTTCGTCTCCCTTTCAAAGGCCCCTGGTTCGAATCCGGGTAGCGACGGAAACATTTTCTTCTCTAAAATTGTCTCCTTTCACCTCCTTTCCTGCTCTCTAGCAATGTTCTGTCGTCTCCCTTCGTCTCCACTTTCTGCGCCCATCCCCTCACCTCCTTTGCCCCCTCCTCTGGGTTCCTGACTCTTTCTGCAGCCTTTCCACCTTTTCTCCTCGGCTTCTTCTTATGGCTGTCTTTCAGCCATACCCCCAATCTTATGGTAGGAAAGAACAACACCTAGACCTCTCGGACAAGGGCGAACAATCTCGGAGGTCCCGCGACAAAAGACTACTTATTATTTGAATGGACATGTGATGTGTAGGGAAGTTTAGAAATATATTCACAACCTGGGCCAAGATAAATTAAATGCCCTTATTGCAAGGTAACACAAATCGTCTAAGAGGGTCCCAAAACGACATGCTCTGTCTTTTGGAAATACAAAATTTGTGGTAGACGTGATGGTCGACTTTGCTGAGCTCCATGCTATTGTGTTTCCAGGCCCTCAGCCTGTTCTCTGGAACACCAATCTGTCCCCGCGCGCGGTTTTATGCACACACACAAAAAATATAAAAATCTGAGATTATTCAAACTGAGCCCAAAAATGTGAAATTATGCGATTGTGATAATTTTAGCAAAGAATGATAAAGGAAAATAATCAGAAATTATGCAAAAAATAATCAAATTTTGCTAAATTATGCGAGGTGCATAAAACCCCGGGGACAGACAGGCCAATGTCAAACTGTTTCTTACAAATGTAACTAAGAAGAAGATGTGTGATGCTTGCTGTGTCTCCCTCGGCCTCTCACTTTGACAGGTGCGTTGTAAGCAAATAGACATTCCCTTTTTGTGGAAGCGGCCGGGTCATGCTTGCTGTGATGGAATCATAACTCTCCAAATTTTGTTGTATGCTGGTTCTGTAGATCTAATTGTGGTTTTAATCGTTTTGGTCAGAAGTTTCATGTTTATGCCGGTTGCTTTTTAAATGTAATTTTAGATTATTTAGGAGGTGGATTTCAACCATGTCTGTCTGAGACTATCCAGGCTGAGAGGTACCTTACGACTAAGCAGAAGGACTGAGATACATGAAAAATTCCCCCCACATGTGAATCGAACTCAGGTCTTCTCCGTGTGCTGGTCTGTTGTGAGTGAGTGACAAGGTGCTGACCTAATATTATAATCTGTGTAGGGTCTTGGTACCGATAATCTTGTTTTTCTCTTAAGGATGTAAAATGTTACCTGAGAAATTGTTTGGTGTATACCAAAGAGCTCTGGTATGCCCAATTCTACTACTTCTACTTTTTATGCAAGGTTACATTTACATGTCAGCATGCATCATTTCAATGTATTCAAATAGAGATTGAAATTCTTACTTGGTGATTTAGTTTCGCCAAGTTAGCAGTTTGCTGAAGTAACATAAACATTGAGGTAATTTCCACTTCCTATCATTTTGCGACTCAAGTGATTGTGATCGTGTGTGGTTGGCGGGTGCTCTGGTGTGGTTTGCTCCTTCTTTCCTGTCAAACATCTATCGTCCTGATCTCTCCTCCTTCTTTTTTGTGTTTGTTAGTCTCTTGTAACACCTCTAATCTTCGGCACTTATATGACCTTATATTGTATTGCAAGTGCCGTAAAACTCTTACTAAAACTGATCTAAACTGATTGTGATCAAAAGTACTGGACTGCCCTGTTTAAAAAAGAAATGCATTGTTTTATTTAATATCAGTCTTCGGGGTTTTAAAGTAAAAACTGAAATTGATTGACTTAAATTGATTCAGTGGGTTGTTTTTCATTAATTAAAAGTTGCATCCGAATGTTTCAGCAGTTAGCCAACCGTGTAATGTACCTGAAAGAAGAAGTACCATATTTCCACGATGCAAGTGAATTTTATCTTGGCCTACGTCAGTGACTGGTACATGGTAAAAAGGGATTTCTACATTCTTTAGTCTACGCATGCGTCATAGTGGTTATTGATTGTGTGTATGCAAGTGTGCTATTCCTTGCTGTTTTGCTTGTTTCTTTTTGACGTAAGCAGGTATATTTATTTCTTGTGTGTGCATGGAAATGGAAAAACGACAATGGATTTCTGTTGGGAAAATGTTGTGGACAAGAAGTACAAATAAACGATGTGCTCTATATCCTAAAAATCTCCTTAACTTTGATTGTTCGTTTCTTTGTTCCTTGCTGCATTGAAAGTGTAATTGTCTTCCCTCAAATGGTTACAATTTGATATGTTTTACGTAATTCAATGATTTCTGGTTATCACATAAAAATAGTCATAACTTCACTTAGAAGAGAGTAGAGAGGTGTTTCACTAAAATAAAAAAGCACTGTCCTCAATAGGAGCAGTATCTATTCGGAGACGTCTCCGACGGAAATAGACCGATCAAAATGCTTTGTGCCTCTAGACCAAGTTTAAAAAATCTGGGGAGTTACGTGGGGGGGG